AGTCGCGAGTGGCGTAAACAAACCCAAGTAATTAAGGGAGTCGTGGTCGAGAGGCTGTTAGCGTTAAGTGGTGGCGTCTGAATGTCTGATGAAGGGGACAGGTGCGGGCTGGCGGGAAACGGCCAGCGAGCCACGTGGCAATTAATTAAGGCTAATGCGAGAGGGGATAAAACGCGAGGTGGTTTGAACGGAGGGGAGTTGCTGTTGGAGAGTTGTTGCTGGAGAGTTGTTGCTGGGCAGTTGTTGGCGAGAGGTGAAGAGATACGAAGAAGACAGCTGGAAATGTTAGGGAAGAATAGATAGAGAGCCGGACCCCAAAGACAGTAAATAGCGATAGGGAGAGTCAGCGTTAGCGAAGATAGATAGAGTCACTGTGTGTAAATAGATGGAAGTCACTGCGTGTGAAGAGATAGCGGCGATACTGTGTGTGAGGAGATAGAAGACGAACCACTGTGTGTGGAAGGGAAGTCACTGCGTGTGAAGAGATAGCGGCGATACTGTGTGTGAGGAGATAGAAGATGAACCACTGTGTGTGGAAGGGAAGACACTGTGTGTGAAGAGATAGGCGAAGAAACACTGGGTGTGGAAGGGGATGCACGGATGATGCTGAAGTAAATCGGAGTGTCCGAGTTGGCGGAGCACGGAGAGAATTACTGTGTGTACGGAGCGATGGAATAAAAGTGACGGCGGAAAAAGGGACGGTTGTCGTCCGAGTAAATTCACGGCACTACATATGTATGAGTTCGGCAATAGGAAGCCAATGCAGTTCGGCGAGCAATGGACAGACATGGTCGGATTTTGCAGTACCCGTCATGATGCCTGCCAAATAATTTTGTACTCGCTGCAGCTTAGTAATGTTTCTTGCCAGATGTGCCGGAGAGTAGTGAGTCAGAATAATCGAGCCCTAACCCTATCCCTAACCCTAAGCCCTAACCACTAACCCTAACCCCTTACCATAAGCTTAACCCCTAACTCCAACCCTTAACCCTAACCCGTAAAACTAACCCCTAACCCAAACCCTAACCCTCTGACCCAGACCCTAACCCCTAACCCTAACCGAACTCTAACCCTAAACCTTAACCCTAACACAACCGAACCCAAACCATAACCCCTAACTACCCTAACCCTAACACTAACCTATAACCCTAACCCAACCCTAACCCCAACCTAACCCTAAACCCTAACCCAACCCTAAACCCTAATTCTAACACAACCCAAACTCTAACCTCACCCTAACCTAACCCTAAACCCTAACGCAAAATCAAAACACTAACCTTTTACCCTAAACCTATCTCTAAACCCAACCCTAACCCTAAACCCTAACCCTAAACTCTAATCCCTATCCCTAACCCTATCCCTATCCCTTAACCCTAGCCCTAACCTTGACAACTAACCCTAACCTTCACCCATAACCTTAACACCTCACCCGAACCCCTAACCTAAACCCTAAACCTGTTGCTTGTGATGTATCAGTGCTGCTGCTGATGAGCTGCACTCTCGGAAAGTCGTGCGGCTGACGTGATGCGTAGAACCACTCCTATTTTTGTGTGGAGAGGCGGCTACGTGGAGGCTGTCCCTCTGCTCGGTTATTTTGTCCGATGCAGCAGCTGGAGTTGTGCGTTTGTCCACAATAGTACATCACATGACTTGTGTAAAACCTACAGTGCACCTATAGCCACCTCAACCCTACAGCCCTGACCTTATAGCACTGACCATAACCTGTAATGCACATATAGACACCTCAACCATATAACCTTGACCCTATATCCATGACCCTAACCTGTAATGCACCTATAGCCACCTCAACCCTACAGCCCTGATTATATAGACCTAACCTAAGAGCCGTGACCCTTACCTCTAATTATGGCTACAGGAGTCTAAATTCCATGGCGTCGAAATTTTGCCTCCACGATGTAAAATTCAGACTCCCGAAATTGGAATTAGGACTCCCGGACAAGAGCAGTGGCAGCTGTGGTTGTGCGTTTGTCAGTGAGGCAAAAGCCTCAAGGGAGTTGAAACAAATATACTCTTATTATTCTTGCTGCTGACAAAGGTCGATCAACAGTCTTGATGTCCGGTGGGGAATATGATAACAAAATCAGAGATTTACTAGACTGAGGTACCGACCTTTAAATGGAACGAGACCCAACCAATGCTTTAGAACTGAAAACAGAGACCCAACCAATGCCTTAGAACTCAAAACGGCTGCAATCATTGCCAAGGAGGGGCAAAATCCGATCAAACCAAGGGCCTCAAAACTGCCAACAGTTTACGGCTTTCCAAAGACCCACCAACCAACAGTGAGTGCAATCGGCACTGCCACAAACAAATTAGCACCACACAACCTGTACCGAAACAAACAAAGCGCCACATCGACAGCAGGTTTTATTTATTTATTAAAGAGAGAGAGACGGGGAGTGAGCGAGTGAATGAGTGAATTATGAATGAATCCCCCCCTCCCGGAGGAAGGGAGCAGGGGGTGGATTGGGCGAGTCCATTACGAACGAGAGTTCATCAACCATCATCAATCACCATCAACCATCATCAACCATCATCAACCGTCATCACCCATCATTAACCATCATCATTCATCATCGCCCATCATCAATCACCATCAACCATCATCATTCATCATCACCCATCATCAATCACCACCAACCATCATCAATCACCATCAACCATCATCAATCACCACCAACCATCATCAATCACCACCAACCATCATCAATCACCATCAACCATCATCAATCACCATCAATCATCATCAACCGTCATCAACCATCATCAATCACCATCAATCACCATCAACCATCATCAATCACGATCATCAACCATCATCGATCACCATCAATCACCATCACCCATCATCGCCCATCCTCAACCATCATCAATCACCATCAAACATCATCAATCACCATCAACCATCATCAATCACCATCAACCATCATCAATCACCACCAACCATCATCAATCACCATCAACCATCATCAATCACCATCAACCATCATCAAACACCATCAACCATCATCAATCACCATCAACCATCATCAATCACCACCAACCATCATCAATCACCACCAACCATCATCAATCACCACCAACCATCATCAATCACCATCAACCATCATCAATCACCACCAACCATCATCAATCACCATCAACCATCATCAACCATCATCAATCACCATCAATCAGCCATCATCAACCATCATCAACCATCATCAACCGTCATCACCCATCATCACCCATCATCAACCATCATCATTCATCATCACCCATCATCAATCACCATCAACCATCATTCATCATTACCCATTATCAATCACCATCAACCATCATCATTCATCATCACCCATCATCAATCACCACCAACCATCATCATTCATCATCACCCATCATCAATCACCACCAACCATCATCAATCACCATCAACCATCATCAATCACCACCAACCATCATCAATCACCATCAACCATCATCAATCACCACCAACCATCATCAATCACCATCAACCATCATCAATCACCATCAATCATCATCAACCATCATCAACCGTCATCACCCATCATCACCCATCATCAACCATCATCATTCATCATCACTCATCATCAATCACCATCAACCATCATCATTCATCATCACCCATCATCAATCACCACCAACCATCATCAATCACCATCAACCATCATCAATCACCATCAACCATCATCAATTACCATCAATCACCATCAACCATTATCAATCACCACTAACCATCATCAATCACCATCAACCATCATCAATCACCATCAAACATCATCAATCACCATCAACCATCATCAATCACCATCAACCATCATCAATCACCATCAACCATCATCAATCACCATCAACCATCATCAATCACCAGCAACCATCATCAATCACCACCAACCATCATCAATCACCATCAACTATAATCAACCATCATCAATCGTCATCAATCATTATCGATCGTCATCAATCATTATCAATCGTCATCAATCATTATCAATCGTCATCAATCATTATCAATCGTCATCAACCATCGCCGCTGCCTCCACAGCTGCTGCATCCCAGGGAGCGATCCTGCGACAAACCGGTCCACTTTGCCGCTCCTCTGACAATTTTCCTCAAAGCACATTTTGCATAAAATGTGCATCACGAACATCAACCACCACCACCACCACCACGCGCATTCTACGCCACTCACTCCACATTCCGTTTTCCAGACGTAAACGGGAATGTCTTAAATCGGAAATGGCTTTACCCCCGGACAGTCATTTCGACTTCTACTCCTCATCTAAACATCCACACGCCCACATATATCACTTTTAACTATGCATAAATAAGGATAATTAGCAACATACATCTTAAGACGACTGCATCATTCATTTAACTCACCAAAACACGTCGGAGTGACTTGTGAGGTGATGTGGAGGCATTACTGTTGCACTGTGGGGATAGACTGCAGAGGGAATCTGATCAACTACAAAGTTATTTTTCACAGACGTCCAGCAATGGATGGACGATGCAGCCTCCCGCGTGCTCCGTGTTTGATCTCAAGGCACTTGCCATCTAAAATTCCGTTCACCTACAAATACATTTTTTAATGCATAATTTTTTCATTTCGAGGAATTGCTGCACTCACTCAGACTCAGAACAGTCAGACACCCAATATGTGACAGTAGTATAAACCCAGCGTTAACCAAAGAAAATTAACAAATAATTTATTAAAATTTGCACAAAAGCACCGATAAATTAAAGTGCACACATTTATCTCACACGCCAGGTGTACATAGATATATTATTATGATCACGACTATGAATATTCTAGCTCTACAATAGCTTATACAAGTGTAGTGTAATAGCGCCGACTGTTGTTCAGCAACGGCAACAGCGGTGGAAGAGCAGCACACACGCCCGTGAGTGTATACGCGGTTGTGTTGGCAGGGCGGAGGAGCTGGGACAAGGGTCATGGAAGACCTCATCTGGAAGCCCCTGGAACCCGCTGGTGTGTTCGAGAAGGGAGGCGTGGCCAGGGCGGAGCCAGGTCGCGCCGGGTAGCATAAAAGCAGCTGAGAACGGGAGCTCGTGGCTGCCGGTTTTGGGAAGTGGACTCGTCTCATCGTCGTCGCAGTTGTCTTCGCCGCCTTCATTGCTGCCGTCTTCACTAAATATTGCGCCGCTGGATAGTTGTTGGCTGTCTCCGTCGGCACCGTCAGTGTAACACGGTCAGGGTTGTGTTAAGGCAAGGCTAGATGACGAGGGAGAGCGCGAGGGTGAACCTGAAGATGTTAATAAAGAAGGTGCTCCTGAAACCCTTGCCTCCCACTCTGCTGACACTACACAAGTACAGCTTGCATCACACAACACAAATGATATTTGCCTTGGCAAAACTTTTCTTGATCTTGGGGGGGCCGAAAATAAATACGAAAATAAATTAAGCAATAAGTTAATATGTAGCATCGGGGTAATAGGTTTACTCATGTCAGAGTCGGCCGCGTTGCTATCAGCAGAGCCCTAACCTCAACAGGGGAGGGCTCACAGCATGACCACCTCATGTGGCATTCATTGACGAGATCTCTTGCCAAGCGTTCGTCGGGGACCCCCGCTTGAGGAGGGGCTGTTGATCCTGAGCGGGCGATGAGCCAGCAGTAGGATTTCCACGTTCCCATTACGGGAGCCAGCCTTGTCACCATTCCACATGCCTGCGACCAAAGTGCAGCTTCTAAAGCGGTCCGGACCCACGCTCTTGAGGGGCAGCCCCACGCTAAGCACCCTGCTCTAGGTTCTAGTCCGGGTTCAGGAGTTCCTAGTCTGGGTTAATGAGTTCCTCGTCCGGGTTCGTCAGTTCCTGGGTATTGACACCAACGATGATGTCCACGATGTCCACACCGGTGATGATCACAACGACGGCGTGGCTCACGTGGGCTGCCAGCGGAAGCGGTAGCGGCCCTCGGCGGCGGCCCAGGCCACGAGCGCGATGGCACGCCGGAAGACGAGCGTCCTGGCCGTGCCGTGCTCGCGGACGCTCGCGCGGAACCCGGCCCCCCCCCCCCTCGTCATCTCCCCCGGGCTCCCGGAGCGTCGCTCGCGGCGGCGATGTCGTCACGAAGCCCGCAAAGCGGCCGTGCAGCGCGGGGGCAGAGAGGGGAGGGGGGGGGCCACCCCCAACCGCGCGCCTCGCCGCGGCGTCGACGGCGACGTCGGTGTGCGCGCGGTCGGCGGTGCCGGCGGCGTCGCTGCCGCGAAGCCGCCGGCACGAGCGGTCGCCCACCGCCTCGGGGCCGCCCCCCCGTTCGAGGCGGCGGCGTTTGGACTCCCTGGGAGGAGTGAGGCAGGAGGAGTGCGGAGGAGGAAGAGGGGGGTAGAGGGGGAAGGGGGAAGGAGGAAAGATAGAGGAGGAGGTGGAGGAGGGGTCGAGCTGCAGGACGCAGCGCGATGCCTCCTCCAGCAGGTCCCTCATGCGACCCTCGGCACGACTCACGGCCTGGCCACTCAGGCCCTGCTCTGGCTGCTGGGGACACTCAGCCAGCCCTGGCCATTCCTGGGACAGATTCTGTGTGGGGAGGGAGGGATGGAGGTCAATAGGGAGGCAATGTATTTTTGTTGAACTTATTTTTCACAGTACATAACCACGTTAATCAGAGGTGCGGGCAGTGCACTGCAGAGCGCGGTGGATCAAAGTGTGACACACAGTGCTCCTCTCTGGGGTTTAACTGGGCGCTCCGGTCCACGTGAATGGTGGCCGCTCATCACGAGTTGGCTGGAAACATCTCAATCTATAAAGAACTGCAGAACTATTGTTGCCTCTTCACCGGCCGACAAGAGATAAACTGCATACCCTGAAAGATTAATGCGTTGGAGTTTGCATTGTCCTTGTACTGTTCGTCTGTTGGTGTTCTTTACTGGGTAGCATCGGTGACGGAGAGCCACAGGGGAGGCTGTGGCTCTGCTGTGAGCCAATCAGTTTCAAGTCTGTGTGGTTCATGCAGACTTGATGATGCCTGGTCGTGATCGGTGTCTGTCTGGTGTTTGGACATCTTAACAACCTCCGGTGTTATTGTGAGAAAGGTTTCTATCATCGTCCGATTTGTATTAATTGATTGATTTGTGTGTTTGGTATTGCAGATGGAGAGATGCACACAGGACCTGAGTGGCTGTAAACCGACGAGTGAGCCCAGCCCTTCCTGCCACAAATATTGGAAGAAGAAGTCGCTCCCTGTGAGTGGCTGGCTGAAGTGCCATATGTTGAAGAATTATTGAAGGTGATCCAGAGTCTGAGACCAGAAAAGGCACCGGACAGAGATGATCTCCCAAGCGAATTGCTGAGGAAAGATGGCGTTTGCACATAGAATGCCCTACATGAAATCATAACAAGTCTGGACCCTCTTTAAGAAGGGGGACCGCACAGACTGTAACAACTACAAGGGCATCTCACTCCTCAGTGTGCCGGGAAAGGTCGGGGCAAGGATTAATGAACATCGCCTTGCCAGGCACACTGAGGAGAGGCTTGCGGAGCCCCAATGTGGTTTCAGGAAAGGGCGGTCCTGCACAGATGCCATATTTTCTGTCCGTCTGCTACAGCAGAGGTGTAGTGAATTCCAACAAGGCCTACATCTTTGCTTTATTGACCTGGTCAACGCCTATGATACTATCAATAGGCCTGGGCTCTGGGTTACTCTTCGTGCTTTCGGAGTCCCTGACTCTCTGCTCATGATCATTAAGGATCTTCATGATGGTGAGCGGGCCCGGCTAAAACTACGTGGCCGGGAGTCGAAGCCATTCCCTGTTCACCTTGGTGTGCGACAGGGATGTCCTCTGGCTCCCACATTATTTAACATCTATTTTGAACACGTAGTTCGTGAAGCCGTTGATGGCTGTACCTGGGGAATTTCCTTCTGGTACAGATATAATGGGAGGCTGATCGATGCCCGGGTGTGGTCAAGGGATGGCTCCCTATTGGTCAAACATGTTACGTATGCCGATGATCTGGCAATTGCTGCTCACTCAGAGGGGTTGGAGGCGCAGCTGCTTAACCTAGAGCGTGCCACTAAGAGGTGGGGCCTTAACATCAGCCCCACCAAAACTAAGCACCTGCCTGGGTATTTTGTACCATCATACATTCCACCCCCACAACTCAGAATTGGTGATAGGGCAGTTGTGGAGAAAGTGGAGAGTTTTCCATACTTGGGCAGTGTGCTCATGAACGGCTCCGGTTTGACAGTAGAGGTCTCACTCCCAATCAGCCGAGCAGCATTAACTTTTCATCGGTTGCATAACGCAGTGTGGAAGCTACATGGTCTGTCACTCCATAAGAAGCTTCAGATCTTCTCGGCCACAGTCATGCCCTTTCTTCTCTATGCTTGCAAAACGTGGACCCCCCTAATGGAACATCTTCGCCGGTTATAAACATTTAGGCTTGCCTGCCAACGATCAATCCTGGGTTTAACCAGGCTGGAGTGTGTGAGGAACTCATAAATCCTTTAAAGATCTGCACAAAGTCTCATTGGTGAGTTCCTCCGACAGGCAAGGCTACGTTGGCTGGGTCATGTAGCCCGCATGCCCAGCTACCGAATGCCTAAACAGCTCTTGTTCGGCTGGAGAGAGGGGGCTAAACAGGCGCGGCACAGGCTAGAGAAGAGATGGAGTGATGTGGTACAAGAGAATGTGAAGCTGAGTGGACTTGCCAATGACTGGTACCAGCTGTGTTAAGATCGGCCTCTGTGGAGGAGTCTCGTGAACGACCCTACTGGGCAGTTGGAGGCAGTCGCCCTCCAACAACAATGGAGGGCGGAGGAGCGGCGCTCACAACAACGAGCGGAGCGCCGGGTGGCTAAAGCACAGCAGGTTGGCACAGTAGGGGGCACAGGTGGTGCATCAGCCAGCCGTCTCGGTCATCTCAGTCAGTCGACCCGTGGCACTTGGGTCTGCCCCATGACCTCCTGCCGGCAGGCATTCGACACTTCACGTGGCCTCAATGTGCACATAGCCTGGCACAAGCGCCGTGATGACACCACCGCCACTTAGTGGTGAATGGCAGTTGTTGTTGAGTGTCAGTGAGTGAGTGTGAGTGAGTGTGAGTTAGTGTGAGTGAGTGTGAGTGAGTGTGAGTGAGTGAGTGTGTGAGTGAGTGAGTGTGAGTGAGTGAGTGTGAGTGAGTGTGAGTGAGTGTGAGTGAGTGTGAGTGAGTGAGTGTGTGAGTGAGTGAGTGTGAGTGAGTGAGTGTGAGTGAGTGAGTGTGAGTGAGTGAGTGTGAGTGAGTGTGAGTGAGTGAGTGTGGCACCTCACCTCCAGCGTGGCGCTCAGTGTCCGTGCGCTCTCTGCTAGCTGGCGGAGTCGCAAGTTCCTGGCACGCAGCCTCCGTGCCTCAGCGTCCCTCCGCTCCAGGGCGGCGCTCAGCTGCACGGGAGCCACGCAGAGCCACAGCGCAGAGTTAGAGCCACGCAGAATCACACCAGAGAGCCACACCACGGAGTCACAGCCAAGCACAGCGACACCACCCTGGAATCCTCAGAGCACAATGTATGGGCAGCGGTGGAGGGGATGGCCGCGCCGTGGATAATGCCGCCTGTGACACCGTATCATAGCACCAGCAACCCTAGAACTCATTGATGCAGGAGGACTTGATTGGTGAATGAACTCGGCGTTCATCTTCTTTGGTTCTTTCGGTAAAGTCACGTAGAATGAGAATAAAATAATAAATTGATAAAATAAAATAACACAATAATATTCTCACGACGTTTCGGCCACAACACAAGCTGCCTTCATCAGGTGAAGGGGACGAGACTGTCTGGAGCACAGCGCTGGAGTGAGAAAGCCACGCTGAGATCACGACCTTTAAGCTGTGTGAGAAGAAACAAAGCGCCTTGACAAAAGAATTAGCATAGAATTTAGCATTGAAATGGCTGAGTGATTATGCTAAATTATATGCTAATTCCTTTGTCAAGGCTCTTTGTTTCTTCTCACACAGCTTAAAGGTCGAAGATCTCAGCATGGCTTTCTCACTCCAGCGCTGTCCTCCAGACAGTCTCGTCCCCTTCACCTGATGAAGGCCGCTTGTGTTGTGGCTGAAACGTCCTGAGAATATTATTGTTATTTTATTTTATCAATTTATTATTTTATTCTCATTCTACGTGACTTTACCGAAAGAACCAAAGAAGATGAATCCTTGCAGTCACGAAAGCTTTAAATCGAAATTGAACTCGGCGTTATTGCAGGCCAGGGACAAACTCCACTCACCTGTGATTATAAATCTCCATCCGCCTGACGCAAGTCCGCCAGCAGGCGCCTGTACAGAACAGCCAGTCGTGCTAAATATGTGCGACGATGCAGACACACGTACTTAGACGCGACCAGCTGCTCTGAGCCAAGCAGAGGCTGTGCTGGTTCCCAGCACGACTTGGTCTTCGTGGAGCCAACAACTTAAGATTTCTAAATCGTGATAATATTGCATTGTGCAGCGTGTATTTGTGCATGGGTCACAGTTTGCGTTTGATGTACGGTCGACCCAGCCTCATATGAGTACCTGTCATGATGTGTAAATCTCGCCACTGGAGAGATAAAGGCGGTCGGGTGCGGTGCTGGCCACCAACCCCCTCGTGTGCCATGCCGGTCTTCATAGGCGTTACTACTCACTAACGGCACTTGCCCCAACAGTCGCGTATTACTGCCTACACTGGGGTCTTTGATGTACCGTGTGGGTGTGTGTGATACTTTAAAGATCTTGAAACAGTCCTCATTATCGGTGAGCTCCTCTGGCAGGCGCGGGTGGTGTTGGACGGATCATGCGGCCCGCATGCCCAGCCTAAATGAGCACAGCACAGGCTAGAGTAGAGATGGTTTGATGTTCGAGTGGGTGAGTGAATGCGTGAGTGAGTGGAACGGGACAGAGAAGAGATGGACAGATGCCGTACACAAGGATTTGGACTTGCCAATAACCGGTAGCAGCAGTGTCAAGATTGGCCTCTTTGGAGGACGCTGCAACTGGGCAGTTGGAGGCAGTCGCTTTCCAGCAACAACGGAGGGCGGGGGAGCCACGCTCACAACAACGAGCGGAGCGTGGGGTGGATAAAATACAGCTTGGTGGCGCAGTAGGGGGCACACGTGGTGCATCTGCCAATCATGTCAGTCAACCCATAGCACCTGAGTCTGTCCCGTGGCCTCTTGCCAGCAGCGAGCCTTCCATATTTCACGTGGACTTAAAGTGCGCCTAGCCTGGTACAAGCGCCTTGGTGATGTCACTGCCACTTAGTAGTGAATGGTGGCTGTTGTAATATTATTGGTGTGTGTGTATTGTACAATAGTCAGGTTATATTTTGATTTAAAGCTTTCGTGACTGCAGGGATTCATATTCTTGGTTTTTTCGGTAAAGTCACGTAGAAGGGAAACAATAAAATAATAAAAATATGAAACAATAGTGAGAATTTTATTGTTTTATATGTTTATTATTTTATTGTTTCCCTTCTACGTGACTTTACCGAAAGAACCAAGAATAGTCAGGTTATGTTTAGAATTTTTTTAATTAAATAAAGACATTTTCAGATTAATACAAACAGCCTTATTAATCTGAAAAGCTCCATTTTAATCGAAATTAAATTCAGAAAATACAAAGTAGTGGCGCTAGTATGATGTCACAAAGGCGCTTTTCCTGCCAAAAACGGTGCCACGTGGCATTGGATGACATCACTTTGGGAGCGATGCTCGATGGTCGTGCACACAAAGACAAAGATCCCCTGTGTAGCCTTAACAGATTGTTGGGGCAAGTGGTGTTAGCGAGCAGCACCTACAAAGACAAAGATCCCCACCGTGTAGTCTTAACAGACTGTTGGGGCAAGCGCCGATAGTGTGCGGCACATGCGAAGGCCGGCACGGCACACGTGAGGGTGGGTGGCCACCACCGCGCCCGGCCGCCTTTGTCTCCCCGGTGGCGATGTTTACGATGCATCGCAGCAGCTTCTCATTTGAGGCTGAGTCGACCTTGGGGCGGCCCAGGACCGATTGTTCAGACAAATCACTGCCGTGTTGGTGGCGGTCGTGGCCACAAACTCGGGTCATGGCGCAGCGCGTTAGCCCACGACCCTACCTGCCGGTTCTCCCCAAGCGCCTCCTGCAACGCCAACGCCTCCTCCTTCTCGTCTCCACCCCACGACGGCGTGGAGTCGAACCCCCGCACCTCCTCCTCCTTCTTCTCGTCTCCGCCCCACGGCGTGGAGTCGAACCCCCGCACCTCCTCCTCCTCCGCGTCTCCCCCCGCCAGCTCCAGCGCGGAGTCCAGGCCCAGGGAGGGCCCTAGCTCCATAGCCTGGCCGTCCAGGCCGAGCGGCCCCTCTGCACCCAGGCCAAGCCCCACGGCGCCCATCTCCAGCTGCGCCTCCAACTCCGCCATTTCCGCCGGCAGCAACAGCAGAGGAGGAGTCGGCTCTGGGGGGAGAGGGGGGGGCGTTACCCACAGACGCAGACCGTTACCACGTGGCCACATTACCACGTTACCACGTGGCCACATTACCACCTTACCACGTGGCCACATTACCACGTTACCACGTGGCCACATTACCACCTTACCACGTGGCCACATTGCCACGTTACCACGTGCATCTAGGGGTCCACTACCACCACTACCACTACTACCACCACCACTGCCACCACCACTACCACCACTACCCCACTACCCCACTACCACCACGACCACCACCACTGCCACCACCACTACCACCACTACCCCACTACCCCACTACCACCACCAACCACCACGACCACCACCACTACCACCACCACTACCACCACTACCCCACTACCACCACGACCACCACTACCACCACCACTGCCACCACCACTACCACCACTACCCCACTACCACCACTACCCCACTACCACCACTACCCCACCACCACCACTACCCCACTACCACCACCACTGCCACTACTACCCCAATATCACGACCACCACCGCTCCCACCACTACCACCACCACCACTCCCACCACCACTACCACCACCACGACCACCACTACCACCACCACGACCACCACCACTACCACCACCACGACCACCACTACCACCACCACGACCACCACCACGACCACCACTACTACCACCACTACCACCACTACCACCACCACCACGACGTGGTTTGTCCACCGGGGTGGTGACGGGCCGAGTGCCGTTGCCTCACCTGGAGTTGGCAGCAGGGCCGGGAATCCGCTGGGGGCCCTCATGTCCGTGAGATTCAGGCCGAGCTCCACGGCAGCGGCCTCCAGCAGAGCGCCCTGCGGCTCGCACCGGAGACCCAGAGAGCACCGCACTCAGAACACCGCGCTCAGAACACCGCACTCAGAACACCGCGCTCAGAACACCGCGCTCAGAACACCACGCTCAGAACACCGCGCTCAGAACACCGCGCTCAGAACACCGCGCTCAGAGCACCGCGCTCAGAACACCGCACTCAGAACACCGCACTCAGAACACCACACTCAGAACACCACGCTCAGAACACCGCACTCAGAACACCGCACTCAGAACACCGCACTCAGAACACCGCACTCAGAACACCACACTCAGAACACCACACTCAGAACACCGCGCTCAGAACACCGCGCTCAGAACACCACACTCAGAACACTGCGCTCAGAGCACCGCACTCAGAACACCGCACTCAGAACACCGCGCTCAGAACACCACGCTCAGAACACCGCGCTCAGAACACCACACTCAGAACACCGCGCTCAGAACACTGCGCTCAGAACACCGCGCTCAGAGCACCGCACTCAGAACACCGCACTCAGAACACCACACTCAGAACACCGCACTCAGAACACCGCGCTCAGAACACTGCGCTCAGAACACCGCACTCAGAACACCACACTCAGAACACCGCACTCAGAACACCGCGCTCAGAACACTGCGCTCAGAACACCACACTCAGAACACCGCGCTCAGAACACTGCGCTCAGAGCACCGCACTCAGAACACCACACACACAGCACCAACACCACCATTGACAAAGGTCCTCTATGTAGCCTTAACAGACTATTAGGGCAAGGGTTGTTAGCGAGCACCTATGAAGGCCGGCATTACGCCTAGTTGCCTTTGTCTCCCCAGTGACAATGTTTAGTAGACACCGCACCAGGTACTAAATTGAGGCTGAGTCGACCTAGGGGAGGCCCAGGACCGGCTCAGATCATGGTCACTGGTGGTGTTGGCCATGAGCGGGAATCGAACTCGGTTCGCCAGGTCCATAGCACAGCAGCGTAGCGCTAACCACTACACTCCTGGTCCCCACCATTAACACCACGGGCACAACCACTAAAACCACTGCCACCACCACCACTACCACACCACTATCACCACCACACCACTATCACCACCGCCACTATCACCACCACTACCACCATCACCACCACTATCACCATCACTACCACCAACACTATCACCACCACTACCACTACCACCACCACCACTATCACCACCACTATCACCACCACTATCACCACCACTAGCACCACAATCACCACTATCACCACCACTATCACGACCACTATCACCACCACTCCAAACACCACTACCACCACCACTACCACCACTACCACCACTATCACCACTATAACCACCACTATCACCACCACCACCACGACTACTACCACCACCACTATCACCACCACTCCAACCACCACCACCAGCACTATCACCACCACTACGAGGACCACCACCACCACCAATACGAGGACCACTCAACAGAAAGGTGCACATCGACCCCAGTCCGGGTCTCACCTGGAACTCCGCGGAGTTCTCCACTCCTCGAGGCCCCAACTGCTGCCACACACTCGAGTTGATGGTCGCCAGGCCTGGAAACATCCAACGTCACCGACATCAATATCAGCATCATCACCATCATCACCATCAGCAGCAACACCACCACCATCATCAGCAGCACCTCCACCAGCACCACCATCAACACTACCATCAACACCATTATCACCATCATAATGTGGGATTGAGGGAGTGTGGGATTGAGAGAGTGTGTGACTGAGAGTGTGTAACTGAGAGAGTGTGGGACTGAGAGAGTGTGAGACTGAGAGAGTGTGGGATTGAGAGAGTGTGTGACTGAGAGAGTGTGGAACTGAGAGGGTGGGATTGAGGGAGTATGAGAATGAGAGAGTATGAGACTGAGAGAGTGTGAGAATGAGACAGTGTGGGATTGAGAAAGTGTGGGACTGAGAGAGTGTGGGACTGAGAGAGTGTGGGATTGAGAGAGTGTGGGATTGAGAGAGTGTGGGATTGAGAGAGTGTGGGATTGAGAGAGTGTGGGATTGAGAGAGTGTGGGATTGAGGGAGTATGAGACTGAGAGAGTGTGGGATTGAGGGAGTGTGGGATTGAGAGAGTGTGGGACTGAGATAGTGTGGGACTGAGAGATTGTGGGATTGAGAGAGTGTGGGATTGAGGGAGTGTGGGATTGAGGGAGTGTGGGATTGAGAGAGTGTGTGATTGAGAGAGTGCGGGATTGAGAAAGTGTGGGATTGAGTGAGTGTGGGATTGAGGGGAGGGGTCTCACCTCGTGCCCCCCGCGTCTCCTCCCCCCACCCGCACCTCGCCCCCTCCTCTCTCCCTTGGCACGTGACCTGCACAGGGGACACCGAATTACCCAGATGCTCCATGACGACCATGCGATGTTTCTTGTACATCGGCACCGTGGCGAGCAGCCGGAAGCACGCATGGCGGTGGGATTGCGCCGATCCGCCCTGACGTCTTGTGCCTGATAGTCCGGTCCCGCTCATTCCTGCCTACGTTGCTGCTGCTGCGACGACCGCCTCTGTCGGGAATTTTATCCGACTCACACTCTTGGGTTCTTTCGGTAAAGTCAACACGTAGCTAGAAACAAAATGAAACAAATCACGACATTTCGGGCTCAACACAAGCGGCCGTCATCAGCTGGGACAACCAAAGCAAGACAAAATTGTTGAAGTGTGTGAGAGAGCTGCCGTGGCACGAGGTTACAGAGGTAAGAAAAGGCGGCTCTCTCGCACACTTCAGCAATTTTGTCTTGCTGTGGTTGTCCCAGCTGATGACAGCCGCTTGTGTTGAGCCTGAAACGTCGCGATTTGTGTTATTTTGTTTCTAGCTCCGTGATGACTTTACCCAAAGAAGCAAAGAGCGTGGATTCCTGCAGTCACGAAAGCTTCAAATCTGATCGGACTGTGGGCCCCTCGGCTCCCGCTACGTCATCCGCTGTGACCCGAGGTGTGGCGACTCGAGCGGTAACGCCCCTAGGGGCTGTCCATAAATGACGTCACGCAATTTTGGACGATTACCAGGTCGTCGGCATACATAACGTGGTTGACCAATAGGGAGCCATCCCTTGACCGCACCTGGGCATCGATCAGCCTCCCATTGTATCTGTACCAGATGGAAATTCTTCCGGTACAGCTACTGAAGGCTTCACGAACTACGTGGTTGAAATAGATGGTAAATAATGTTGGAGCCAGAAGATATCCCTGTCGCAGTCCAAGGTGTACAGGGAATGGCTCTGACTCCCAGCCACGTAGTTTTACCCGGGCCTGCTCACCATCATGAAGGTCCTTAATGATCGTGGGCATAGGGTCAGGGACTCCGAAAGCACGAAGAATAACCCAGAGCCCAGGCCTACTGATTGTATCATAGGCCTTGACCAGGTCAATAAAGCAGAGATGTAGGTCTTTTTGGAATTCCCTACACCTCTGCTGTAGCAGACGGACATAAAATATGGCATCTATGCAGGACCGCCCTTTCCTGAAACCGTATTGGGGCTCCGCAAGCCTCTCCTCAGCGTGCCTAGCAAGGCGATGTTGAAAAATCCTTGCCAGGACCTTTTCCGGCACACTGAGGAGTGAGATGCCCCTGTAATTGTTACAGTTTGTGCGGTCCCCCTTCTTAAAGGGGGGGGGGGGGGGGGTGGGACCACCAGGGCATTCTTCCAATCCTGCGGAACCCGTCCAGTGGCCCAGACTGTTTTTATGATGTCATGTAGGGCAGTCTGCGCACAAACGCCACCCTCCCTCAGCATTTCGCTTGGGAGATCATCTCTGCCTGGTGCCTTTCCTCGTATCAGACTCTGGATCGCCTTCATTACTTCCTCACCGGATGGCACCTCAGCCAGCCACTCACAGGGGGTGACTTCCTCCTTCAATATTTGAGTCACCGCAGCCTAAGCAGGGTCATTCCCACTTTGCCCCATTATGTTTTCCAGGCTGAGGGATTCCCCCTCCTCCAGGACCTTACAGAAATGCTCAGCAAATCTGCAAACCTGTTCCTGGGGGTCGGAGATTGGATCACCGTTCTTTACCCTAATGATTGTAATAGGTGTGGCACTGCAGGTTACTTTTTGATGGAGTTTAAGAGCGATTTGTGATCGCGGGCCACTGAGGCAAATTCCAACTCCTTAGCAACCCGCGACCACCAACCATCCTTGCAGCGCCTCACGGCTTTCCGAACCTCCGAGCGAAGTCTGCAGTAAGCCTCCTCATTCTCTGACGTGGGATGCTGTAGACGATGAGAGTGGGCCTGTCGCTTTTCTCAACCATCCTGAACACCTCCTCTGTCAGCCAGGGTCTCCGGGGAGGTCTGGACCGCGTACCCAAAATAGCCATTGCAGCTTCATGAGTCACTGTACTAAACCTCGACCATTTACCCTCGACATCAGGAGGAGTGGAGGACGATGCCAACCCCAGCCGCAAGCGATGATGAAATTTTCACTTCCAACTTCCATCAGCTAGCTGAGACCAGGCCACCTTAGGTTGGAATGGGGTCCTGGGTGTACAGGTCCTCCACACACAGTGACTACACACACACAGTGACTACACACACACAGTGACTACACACAGTGACACACACACAGTGACACACACAGTGACTACACACACAGTGACTACACACACAGTGACTACACAACAACAACCGCCGTTCGCCACTCAGTGGCGGTGACGTCACCACCACGCTTGTGCCAGGCTATGTGCACCCTGAAGCCACGTGAAGTGTCGAACGCCCGCTGGCAGGAGGTCACGGGGCAGACCCAGTTGCCACGGGTCGACTGACTGAGATGACTGGCTGATGCACCACCTGTGCCCCCTACTGTGGCAACCTGATTTGTGCTTTAGCCACCCGGCGCTCCGCTCGTTGTTGTGAGCGTCGCTCCTCCGCCCTCCGTTGTTGTTGGAGGGCGACTGCCTCCAACTGCCCAGTAGCTTCCTTCACGAGCCTCCTCCACAGAGGCCGATCTTGACACCACTGGTACCAGTCATCGGCAAGTCCACTCAGCTCCACGTCCTCCTGTACCACATCACTCCATCTCTTCTCTAGCCCGTGCCGCGCCCGCTTAGCCCCCTCAATCCAGCCGAACAAAAGCTGTTTCGGCATGCGGTGGCTGGGCATGCGGGCTACATGACCCAGCCATCGCAGCTTTCCCCGCTGGAGGAGCTCACCGATGGGACCCTGCCCAGATCTTTCAAGGATTTGTGAGCTCCTCACACAATCCAGTCTGGTTAAACCCAGGATGGATCGTAGGCAGGCCAGCCTAAATGTTTCTGACCGGCAAAGATGTTCCATTAGGGGGGTCCACGTTTCGCAAGTATAGAGAAGGGAGGGAATGACCGTGGACGAGAAGACCTGAAGCTTAGTGCGGAGCGACAGACCAGGTAGCTTCCACACAGCGTTACCCAACCAATGGAAAGATATTGCCGCTCGACTGATTCGGAGTGAGACCTCTGCTGTTAAACTGGAGCCGGTCATAAGCACACTGCCCAGGTATGGGAAACTCTCCACTCGCTCCACAACTGCCCCATCACCGATTGGGAGTTGTGGGGGTGTAGTGTCCGATGGTACAAAATACCCAGGCAGGTGCTTAGTTTTGGTGGGACTGATGGTAAGGCCCCACCTCTTAGTGGCACGCTCCAGTCTCAGCAGCAGCGTCTCCAACTCCTCCTCTGAATGAGCAGCTATTACCAAATCATCAGCATACATAACGTGGTTGAGCAATAGGGAGCCATCCCTTGACCGCACCTGGGCATCGATCAGCCTCCCATTATATTTGTACCATATGGAGATTCCCCCGGTACAGCCATTGAAGGCTTCACGAACTACGTGGTCAAAATATATGTTAAATAATGTGGGACATCCCTATCGCACCCCAAGGTGTACAGGGAATGGCTCTGACTCCTAGCCACGTAGTTTTACCCGGGCCCGCTCACCATCATGAAGGTCCTTAATGATCGTGAGCAGAGGGGCAGGTACTCCAAAAGCACGAAGAACAACCCAGAGCCCAGGCCTACTGATGGTATCATAGGCCTTGACTAGGTCAATAAAGCAGAGATGTAGGTCTTGTTGGAATTCGCTACACCTCTGCTGTAGCAGACGGACAGAAAATATGGCATCTGTGCAGGACCGCCCTTTCCTGAAACCGCATTGGGGCTCCGCAAGCCTCTCCTCAGCATGCATGGCAAGGCGATGCTGAATAATCCTTGCCAGGACCTTTCCCGGCACACTGAGGAGTGTAATGCCCCTGTAGTTGTTACAGTCTGTGCGGTCCCCCTTTTTAAAAAGGGGGACCACCAGGGCATCCTTCCAATCCTGCGGAACCCATCCAGTGGTCCAGACTGTTGTTATGATGTCATATAGGGCAGTCTGTGTGCAAACGCCACCCTCCCTCAGCATTTCGCTTGGGAGATCATCTCTGCCCGCTGCCTTTCCTGGTCTCAGACTCCGGATCGCCTTCAGTACTTCCTCAACAGATGGCACCTCAGCCAGCCACTCACAGGGGGTGACTTCTTCCAATATTTGAGGCACCGCAGCCTCAGTAGGGTCATCCTCACTTTGTGCCACGATGTTTTCCTGGCTGAGGGATTTCCCCCCCC